GGTGTAAATATCTTGTCACGAATAAATTCTGGGCCATCCAAAAGTAATGAAGATTCTTCAGTTATATCCAAAGGACTTTTATAGGACATTACAATGAATAAAATAAGTAGTATTAACCAAGCATTTCTAAATTTGGCGGGAGACTCAAAAGGCACCGCCATCTTGCAAGAAGTCAGTACGCAGAGTTTGAAAAAAAAACAATATTTTAATGCTTCCAACCCATTAGAGTATAAATAACAATCACAACAAGATAGTTTTCGGGGTAATGGGGTATTGGAATCAAGTTGCTCCAATCACAATCACCACAATTAGCATACTGGCCATGCATGGCAAAGAAAGGTAATCCTCTCTCAATCTAGGGGTAAAGATCCCCTAGGCCGCAAATGGGTCATAATCCCCTCCTGGGTAATAATACCCGAAAGTGACCAGTATGGAAGCACTTAATGAATTAAGTGGCTCCAATTGCAATCACAGCAATTAGCATACTGGCCATGCATGGCAAAGAGAGGTAATCCTCTCTCAATCTAGGGGTAAAGATCCCCTAAGCTGCAGGGCACCATAATCCCCCCAGGGTAATTATTTCCAAAATTAGCCTTAGTTTCCATAGTGACGGATAAATAGGGGTTTTAATCCCCAAAAACACAGTCAACCATGAGTCTATGGGCAAAGAGTGACCAGTGGATAATTTGAATCACCGTAAGAAGCTTTGTTAAACTGACGTTTTGGACATTAGTCCTTCATCGGAGTAACAGATCATTCCGGTTCAAAGAGCTATCTCTACACCAAAAATTCCCTCCCACCCATCCCTTTTGTCCTTTTGTACTTACTCCGATGAAGGACTAATGCCCGAAACGTCAGTTTAACAAAGCTTCTTACGGTGATTCAATTTATCCACAAGTTCCTACTGTTTTATACAGAAACACCGACGTAGTCTATACTAGTTCTCTACTAGTTATCATCCACTAGTATGGGAGCACTTAATCCCAACCCTTGCTTTATTGTAACTCTCGAATATGGGTGTAAACCAGCTTAAACTAAAACTTTTAAATTTACATTGTTCACCTGCTAACTGAATATATTTTCTTTTCAATGGTATAYTTTAAAAGGACAAAAGGGATGGGTGGGAGGGAATTTCTGGTGTAGAGATAGCTCTTTGAACCAGAATGATCTGCCTAAACCCACGCCAAGAACATATAAGGCTTTGATAAGCTGTCACACGTAAACAATGTGATGGTCCATAAACATAAACATTTCAACCATGTATTGTCCTTAAAGAATATAACATTACAGTCTGTTTAAACTTGTCACAAAGCTGCTTTGTTTGATTCTAATTACAATTGCAGTCATTCCTTAAATTGTAAGGTCAATCTATGTGGCTTATGGTTGAGGCATTAACTTTAATTTATATAGATTGGAGAGACTTGAGCCATATTCCACTTTATTTTTCCCTTTTTTTTACAACGAAACCCATGTGCTTTTTTCCCTTCGAGTGTGACCTCGCCTCGCTCCCAAGCCACCATGTGGCGCACCACAGGAATCCCATATGGTTCACGATAATCAAAATTTTATAATAACAACAAAATATAGTTCCTTTTTAAGCTCCAACATAGATATAAATTTGCTTTGATAAAATGGACGTAGAAACTAGCAGGAATCAAACCCTCATCTATATCACATTTTACACTGTATATACTACACAGATCTGAGGGAATAGAGTACAAACACTAAAAGTGTGCAACACTTTGCGCTATTTAGTAGTAAATAGTGCTAATTAAACAATAGAAAACAAT